TCAACAGGAACAAAGCCTGATTAATATTTCATTTCGCTTCAAGCCGAAAGTATACAAATGTGTACCTGGAAATGGCAGTACAAGAACAAAAGAATGAGAGGTCAGCAGCAATAATAACACAGCAACAACAGGTTCAGCAACACCGCAAACCAGTAGAATAACCCAGCAACGGATTGAAAAATCAGCAATACCAAAGTGCAATCGCAGTTAAAGCAGAAGAGAGAAAGATCCAAGATGCAGTAGTTTACTGATTTTGAATAACACTCGAGAAAAGACAAACGGAATTTATTCAAGTAGAAGTTCAAGTTGTCTTTCTCTTTTACTCTCTAACACTCTTGAAATTCTCCAGAATGTATTACTCTCAAAAATATTCTCCCAATAATTATCTCTAAGTCTTCTCTTAATGTTCAAAGTCTGTTTCTCAAGTATTAAAACTTTCTCCCGAAAATCTTCTTCTCATTTCCGTCCCTTTTCTATGTCAAGAATAACTCTTATTTATAGCAAGACCTTGTCTTGAATTCCCAACCCCAAATTATTCCCCCAAGGCATGCTTTGTACCCACTATTTAATGTCTTCTTTATTTTAAACCTTGTCCCCATGCCTACATTAAATAAATACCACATCCCCAACCCATTATAATTTGTCCCTCATGCTTAACATAAACAAATGCAATATTCTCTCCCATTATATTTTGTCTTGTCCCCCATTATGTTAAACAATTATATCAAAAAACTCACCCCATTATATTTTGTCCCCCATGCTTAATAAATAATTATAATAATGTTCAATTACCAAACTACCCCTCCGACCTTATTGCAATTACCATTTTACCCCGAATGTAATGCAATTTACCAAACTACCCCCATCAGCTCTAAACAATCAATTAATCATAACTTAACCAAAATATAGCCAATATGACTAATTTCTCAACAATCTTCAACAACAAATCACATGAACACGATGAACAACACAACTCAAAATTAATGGAATGAATTAACCATATCGGGAACCAATCCTGGTTAATTTAGACCATCAATGGATGAGCAAAGAGACAACAATACAAACAACAAAATACATGATTCAAACTAAATCAACAAATCAAAAACCAAGATATAAACTCACATTAAATCACTGGTTTTAAAATGAACTTCAAACAAAGATGAACATGAATTAAATCTATTTTTAAGCAACAAACATGACAGATTCAAATGATTCAAACAACATTAATAATTTCTGGAAAATACATAACAACACATGAAACAAATTGAAGAGATAATTAATTAAATTTCAATTTGAATCTAACAAACATTAAACTAACAAATATTTATCTAAACAATAATACAAACATGAAATAAACATGAAAAACAACTAATTAAACTTCTATTTGAAATCTGAAAATTAATTTAACAAAGCACATGAACAAACTAAAAAATTAATTCAAACGATAGACATGAACAAAACAAACATTTGCCGATTTTAGATTCGAGAAATATCAAAACAAAATACGGACAAAATAAAACTCAAAAACTACTAACCGGATCGAAATGAAATATGTACGGACTGTTTTGACGAACCTCGAATGGGAATGAATCTGTCTGGACTCAACGACGAACTCAATACGACGCTCGACGACCTCGACTAAAACTCGACCAAACGAAATGGATGAATCTCGTTTTGGGACTGAAGGCAACGAGGATAAAGAAGAAGATGACGGAGATGGCATAAGCAGTTGGGTCCGTTTGGACGACGAGGCAGCAGCTGAGCAACCAGTAGCCTTCTCCTTCATCGAAACGGAGCATCAACTTCTGCGGAACTGAGGTCCATGGCGGAGCATCAGCATCAGCTCCTGCTGGGTCCATGGAGGAACTGAGGTTGCAGCAGCGAAATGGAGGAGCTGGAGAAGATGAAGCAACAGTTGGTTGACGCAGCATCAACGGAGGAAAAGGAGCAGTGGACTGGTCGACGAGGGCAGTGACAGCAGCCAAGGCGGACTGCTTGTGGTCATTCATGGTGAAGCAGCAACGACTGGCGTGGTTGCTCGTTAATGGCGGACGTCAAGATGGCGATGGCTGGAACTTGATGTGGTTGACGAAGCAGAAGCAGTCGCGGGGGTTAAGAAGAAAACGCAGCAACGATGGTTGCTCGTTAATGGCGGACGTGA